GTCTTTAAAATTCAGCTGCTCAAATTATTTCGTATGTTATTATTGAAGTAGATGACATAGAATTTAATTAATTTTCAAGGGGAATTGCGGATGGAGAGGGAGATTCCCTTGAAACGATCCAGGCACATTCATTCCATATTTGCTTGCTTTTGGGGATACCCGAAGATGCCTTTGACTTGAATTCAGGCAGCACGAACAATGCGTTCACCATAGTAATGTGGCAAGTTTCTCCAGCAGCCACAAGCTGGCTGCAACACTTGTCTGTCACAGGACCATAATGCTCGAACATGTTCACGAAGATCTCTCTCCCACACTCGTTCGTGAAATGCTTCACGCATCCATCCAAGAACTTGCGTTCCTCGGGTGATTGTTCTGGTGGCAAATCGTCGTTATTTTCAGGTGGATAGGCATAATCATCCCCATTAGGGGATATTTGTTCGACCTGCACATAAGCGGCAGCTGCCGCCAGGGTCATGGTGACCAGCAGCAGACGCATGAGGAAGATGCTGAAATTTGCCATGATGCTTGAGTTATTGCGAGGGAGCGGCTGTGGTGGTGATGAATCAAAGTTGATTTAGTTCTTTTTATAGGGTGCAATATTCTTGGTTTTGAAACGCTTCATTAATTTTCTCTCTACTTTTCAACCGTTATGAAATGTAATGCTTTCTCAGTTGCTTCTGTTAAACAATTTTAATTTCTATGTTTAATGTTTATTCATCAAACTTAACTTATGTATTACATGCATTGAAGTTTTTATTTTTTTTGTGAAATATCTGTGCTTGGTGGTGTCATTATCGTATACTCAACTGCTTATATCACATTTTTTTTTTAGTTATTTTATATTTTTTTTAATTCATTTAAAAAAAATGCGAAATTTTGAGAACCCTGTCCTCGGTCCTGTGCTTCTCCACCGACCTTCCAGCGCCATTGCCAAGCTTTCCTCCAAATCGTCCAAGAATCAAATTCTGAAAGCAAGAAAGTTAATACAAAGACCGTGGTTTTAT